GCGTGTGTACTTTATGGGGCTTACTCAGAGAAATGATGTCTCGTCTAGTTAATGGAGCATTAAATGAGAGGTTGTCATTACCAATTCTGCTGTGTGGCTACCTCAGAGTGGGCAAGAGGGTTAATTCTTTATAAAAAGCACAGAATAATGTGTGTGCAGAGTAAGAGCTTGATGAAGTGAGTGACAGCCTACTCATCCCATTCTGGGAAATGTGCTTGGTCTGATCTCACTACTGCAGGGTTTTTGGAGGGCAAGTGGAGGAATGATGTCACATGCTTTTGGTTCCCGTTCCTTCTCCATGTTTTAAACTAACAGACCGTAGAACATGAAATCTGTGTCACAGCAAATGCTTTACGAAGGTAAAATGAGAAAAATCTTTCTTTTTGCTTTTGCTGTTCATTCCTTCAGTAGTGGAAGGCAGAAGGGTGCAGGCACTGCCTGTGGGGTTGGCCTGTGTAACAAGGCTCTGTGTTGCACAGAAGGAAAAGACTGCTACCCAAAAACTGGCCCCCATCCTTGCAGAGAAGTGTTCAATCTCTTCTCCCTTGGAACTTTTTTATGACCATCTAAGCCCAATTTGCTATGCAATGTGATAGCTCTGAATGCAAAATCATCTTCCCATGTTTACCAGGAGACAAAGTAGATGCTGAGCCACTTTATCTCTTAATTTGTTGGGGTTTTTTTATGGTGGTTGTAGCTATTTTCCACATTTTCACTAGGTAAGTTGCCCTTTGTGAGTTTATTCAGCAGCAGATGTTACACCATCCACTCTGGCAGCTGGAACAAAAGCAGAGTAATGAAAGAAGGAAAATTTGCTGACAGTTGTGTTTGTGCTTTGCAGGCAGGATTCGTTGCAGTGCAAATCTTTGTGGGCTAATGAAGTTAAAGCAGGGCTTTAGATAGTATTCTTTTAAACAAAAGCAGACTGCCCAAAGCTGTCTCCACTAGTGTTTTCCTTTTTAAACAATGAGAGCGAATACTGCAGGTTTAAAAATGGAATATAATTTATGAGGCTTCTAGCCTTGGGGATGAGTCCTTCTGTAAAGGGAATTTAAAATATAAAATGAATATTAATGAGGTGGGGAGGCTTTCAGACCTGTCCTTTAATACTAATCCATTGTGAGTGGAGCAGCTCTAGAAATGAGCTGATACTGGCACAGAGACAACCAGGAATTGACTGCTCTTAGAACATGCCTCATCAGTCAAAGCCTTCACAGGCTCCTGAATACTTGTCCTGATCAGATACAGAAGGGGACCTGAACATTTCTGGTATCAATCCCCTGCCTGCTGGTTCTGTGTGCCTTTCCCTGGGAACACTCCTGTATGCTGGCATTCAGTTCTAGCTTGTTGCATGGATGGGAGCGTAATGAAAGGGTAAGTTGTTGGTACAGTTTGGAAATGCCTTTTGGAAGGGAACCGTGAACTTTCAGTTCGATGTTTAGGGCATAGCCATGATGAGTGAAACTGGGTGACATCAGTGTTAGTAGCTCCCTGCCCCTGATTATTAATGACAAAAAGGTTCTAAAATGCTTAACTGATTTCATAACTCTTAAGTGTGTGTACAAGAGATGTGCCAAGTGATAAAGCTTCTCATCATTTTCAGGAAGGAAGATATTTTGTATTAACCATTTGATCTAAGGAATGTTGTTTAGATTATAAATTCCCTGATGTGTTTGTGGGCCAGTGCACATCCTCCTAATTCACAGAGGCTGATGCTGGGAGAGGAGAGAGGTCACCTTAAAAATGCTGAGCCCCTTCATTTTACTCTGTAGTTAGTGCAGGAGTTGGCATATCTGTCAGCAGCTGGCTGGGGAAGCCAGTTACAATAACCTCTTTACCTCTTCCCTTTTCTTGGTCTGAGCTCCAGATGAACTGATATGCTGTCAAACACTTCTCTTGGTTCGAGAGAGGAGTTTTGGAATCTAAATATAGCAGATTTTAAGAGTTGCTCTAAAAGCTCAAGTACTAACCTTGATCTTGATTTCATTTGTTGGATGTTACTTGCATGATTTTTGGAAGAGTTTTGCATTTATTCTATAAGTAAATGGTATCTTGTGACATCTACAAAGCCTATGCCCAAAGTGAGCACTTTACTTGTCTCTAGAGCTTTGTAGTTTAGGACAAGGCATCAAACTGTATTTTCTGATGTGTAAAATACATTAGGCTTTTCCCAGGCACTGTGTCCAGTGCCTGATTTCTATCCACAGCAATACATTTAACTCTGTGGGAAGTGGACTATTTCCTTGGTGTGGATTGAACATTATATGGTTACTACTAATTTGTTGCTTTTAATACAGAGAGTCACAAGGTCCAGAATTGACATCGTGAGATTTGAAATTAAAATGGGGGAGAGAGAAGCTCCAAATTAATTTTTTTTTCAGAGCATAAATGCATTAAAAAAACCAGTGAAACTCATCGTAATTATTATATTCTTAATATTAATTAATGGAAATACTGCAGGAAGGTGTTGTTTTACACTACAGATCTGTATTTAGATCTGCTAATGGAAGGTCGCAGGCTGAGCATTGCAAATTCTGGAGCGCTTGCCAAATCTTCTGAAGGATTCAAGCTTGTCATGCAAGCTTTCCCCATGGCATGGGGCTTGCATGCCTCTGCTGCCACATTAAGTAATAATGTCTCTTTACTAAATCTAGAGTAACTGCATGGTTATTTGTGCTATTGGAATAAGTCACAAATATATAAAACTACTTCTTTTCCCCCCCCTTGGGTCTAGGGATCTCCTGATTCATCTGTTCAGCACTGCACCTCTTCAAGGGCTGGAGTGTTTGTTGTTTTCTTAGGCACTGGAATAAGGGTCTTCAGCTCATACAATCAGTGACATGTTTGTAAAAAGCTGGAGGCCACGTTCAAGAGTGGGATGCCCATGTGGAACAGTCTCCTGTTCCACTGAGAGTGGCTGGGTGGTGTTCCTTGTGCAAGTGCCAGGAATACTGCCCGAGGTGCTGCCACAGAGCCCAGCACTCCTGCCCTGCCCCGGCAGGATGGCTCGGGAGCAGCCACAGTGCTCCCTGCTGGGGAGGCACCGGTGTCCCTGTGCTGCTGCATGGCCACAGCTGATGTGGCTTAAACCTTCTGGGGAAGTTTTGACCTAAAATTTATGGTTTGGTTTCACCTTTTAAAAGGCTGGCATAGTAACAGTAGATTTTAAAGCTCTGAGAATATTCTAGCTAGGAAGGGCTAACTGTTTTACAGGTGGAAAAGCCAGAGCACAGAGATGGAGTTGGGAATTATGCAGGGGTCTGGCCTCACATTTCTGGAGGTTTAACTCCAGCGTCTCAGGCAGCCTCAGGTTGCCTATGTCCATTTCCCAGGATGTTAGACTAGTCCCTTTACCAGTATAATGGGTAGTTATGTCTTGGGGGAACTATCTCATCTCTTTGAGCTGTGCTCAAATCGTCCTGTACCCCAGGTGACCCCTGGCCTGTTCACTTGTTTGTTGGACAGCCTGAAAAACATTCCCTGCCAGGCAGTAAAAAACACTTGCAGCAGCATGGCCATCTCCTCCCTGGCTTTTGCCCTGCAAGAGTTCCTCACTCACCCTAATTTTCTGGTTTTGTCTGTACTTATGTTTGCTTTATTTTGTTTTTCAACAGCATATTTGTTATTTTGCTGTCCAAACCCAAGTGGAAACAAAACACTTGTTTTTGCTGTGAGAGGGGTAGCCAGCTCTGTACCCACACCTCTGGACCTGACATCTCTTAGATCATAATGATAAAGGTACAGTATCTTGTCTCCATTGCTCACTTGATTGTTCCAGGGCAGAGTGCATGTGCACTCATCCTGTGGTAAAACACACTTCTATTCTGATTTAAGCAGTGAAGACTTGGCCCATGCTAAGCCCTGATACTGCTGTCTGAGGTGGCTTGTCCACCTGCTCAAAGGCACGTCCATAGAGAGTGGCTGTCATTTTGTATTCCCATGCCTGATGTGATTCAGCTTAATGTTAGGTCACTTGAAGCTTGTAATCAGAGATAATTTTATTACAACTTCTTGGCTGAGTGGGAAAAGAAGGTACAGCACAGATTAAAATTGAAAGTAGATTTTTCTTCTCCAGACCTTACTTTTCTTCTTAGGTCACCCAGCACCTTTGTGTCTATTGTCTTTGTGTATTTGTCCTTCACAGACACAGTTTTATAGGTAAGAACCTGATAAAAAAAAAGTGTGGCTCACACTGAACAAAATAAAAAGGAATTCATTAGTTAAGGACCAAATGCACGAGGAACATCATTTGGGTGCATTATGACTGCATAATAGTCTGTGTAGGTAGAAAAAAAACCCCAAATATTCTAAATCTAGGGGTTCACAAATACATCTACATGGACTTCATAGTACATACACCTGTGTAAGTACTTTTGTTTGGCTGTAAGGGGCTTTACAGACTGAAGTGAATGGCTCTGTGAGCATAGCATCAGACTGGAAACAGTGCTTAAGGCTTAAATAGGTATGAGAGTTCTGACAGAGGATGAATCCTCTTGAATGGTCCTTTTGTGTCCTTTCATAGTTCCCTCTGTTCTGTGCTTAAGAAACTGGAAATAGAAGAAACACCCAAGTGTAAAAATCCTGTTATGTTGAAGTAAATATCCTGCAGCAGTTACCTGTGTCACTGGAAAAAAGAACAGCAGCTGGATAAGTGACAGTTTTGTCGCTGCTTGGCTGAAGGAAACTTGCTGTCCTTAAGTCACAACCAAAGCAGAGTAAAACTGGACGAAAATAGGTCAGGGAGCAGAGAAATGCAAAGAAGGAACTGTTCAGTGACTGCTGAGATGTGACTGTCATCTTGTGTTGTTTCCGTGCCCTGGAGCATCTGTTATCGGGGATTCAGGAAGTGAGCTGCTGGGATACAGATAGAACTTAGTACTGCTGATAGGGCAGTGAAATGACTGAAATGCCTGGTGTAGGGGTAGATAAGATGAAATGCCTGGTTTATCACACAAGCAGAATTCTAGCAAGACCCAGGGAGGCTGTGCAGCTTTATTCAGTAAAAGGCTCTGGGCTACCTGGGTGACCACCAGACAAGCCAAGCAGAATGGGAACTTTATATCAAGAATCTTCCCTGCACAGATCCCTTCGTTTGAGCATGGGAGGATTTTGTGTTTCTGATTACATAAAGAGATTCACGGTAAGGGACTCCTCAGAGCTTTATTGTGAGCCAAGTTTGAAAGGGAAAACTTTCTGGATGGCGCAGTTTTGCTTTCTGTGCCTTTGGTGAGGTGCTACGTGTGTTTGACATTCTTGGCCAGGTTGTGCAGTCTGTTGGCTTGCAGAACACCTGCCAGTGTCAAGGAGGTGTTTCTGAAATGATGAGTGGAGGCTTTGCCTTCGTAAAAAATTTACTTTTCGGGAGAACGTTGACACATTAAAACTTTTATCCTGAGTGGAATATTTGTCATATAGGATTCCAGGCTGACATTCAAATTATGTGGAGGTCAGTTGGTACAGCTTTTTGCTTGAGTTGTTTTATGTCTGTGAGTTTTAAGGCAGTGAACGTGTCGGGCAGGCTGAGGTGATTTCATGAGCAGCCAAATCCTGCATGAGCCCGTTTGACCTGTGGTAAAAGCAGTGCAATCAGTGGGCAAGCAGTACCTCAAAGGGTGCTCTGGGATAGTCCTGGAAAGCTGGGGGAGCAGAACCCCGTTGTGCAGAGGTCTGAGGAAAACAAAGCCAAAGAGAGTCTGTCTCCCAAAGCTTAACCACGATCGACCCTGTGAGAGCAGAGACGTAGAGAAGCCACTGGTGGAAGAGAGAATGGGAATCTGCTTTTCTACTTTTGTAAGCTGTTCATCAAAACCCACTGTGATTTCAAGCTATCTGTGAAGTTAAATTTTGGTTACTAGTTGTAGGAAGTCTAGGAAAAGTGTTTTCTACAGTTTGTTTGTATTTACCTACTTTTTGAGTTGCTGAAAAGACCAGTGGCAGAAAATGGACTTAAGCAACGTTAAGAAGAATGACATGTACATATAATAATGTTTAAGTCATTAAAAAAAAAAGCAACTGTAGGAGTTGCATTTTAATTTAGAATAGATCAGATTGTTGTGGGTTTTTTAAGACTGTTCTCTTTCAAAATTTTGAAGAAAGGATTTCCTCATGTATTTCGTTCAACAATAGCTGTAATGGGTTTTCTTGAAGTTTGTATTTGTAATCAGCTTTGTTTTTAAGAATCAATGGAGTAAATGAACTAAATCAACAGTAATGAACCATATTCTGGGCCAGCTGAAGAAAGGGACAAAATATCTACTAATTTCAACAAGCAGGATATTGCTTCAAAGTCTTAAATTCACCTAATGTAATGACATGTAGTGGATTTAATATAGCCAAAAGTACAGTTTGATTTTTTTTTTGGTTATCATATATTACATAAGAAACAAAATGGCCGGGAAGACCAGACACGTTTCATATTCCTGTGGCCACATGATTTATTGTATATTTACAGCCATATAGCAGAAAAATGTTTTGGTGTATTAATTTGAATATACTACTCAACTGTTCTTCGTGTTGAAGAGATAATGATGTGTTTAAATTGTTTGTGTTCAACTTTCTGTCAAAGATATTAAACAACCTGAAATATGTGAAATTTTCTCGTGCTTATTTCTGAAGAAGTGCAAATGAAAGGTTTTTCCAGAGGGACTACAGAGAGTGGCCTTAGAACCATCCAAGCAAACAAGCCAGGGGTTTTTGGACTAGTTGTGTCTTGGGGAAAAAAAAGTCAGTCCTGCAGTTATCTGTCTATATGGCATTCTGTGGCTTGGCTCTGTGCAGATGAGAGTTAATGTTTTGCAGTAGAATGAAGACTATAATGAGATTCAGAATATCTTGTTTCTCTGTAATTGATCTGCTGGGTGACTGAGTAATTCTTTCATATTCATTACTTCAATTTCCTTTTCTGTAAAACTAGTGATAATGGTGCTTCTCTTGTGAAAATGACATTAAGGTCCACAGGTAAATGTTATGTTAGATTTAGTTTGATTTATTGGCTTTCCATGTTCTCAGTGAGCTAAGAATCAGAACCAACTTTGTTTTGGATGTCTTGCACTGCGTTACATCACTCTGGCCAGTTGACCAAACTCATTATGTTATTCTCTTGGAAAATCATTCTCTGTTTTGTTCACAAAGCTATTACTCAAAGTCATAGAACATTATAAAGAGAAGGATGCTTTTGGAGGATATGAGAGAGCATGTAAGGATGAATAGTACTTTGGGCCATGTGTGCATTCTTCATAAAGTTGTTGAGAACTGCTCTGATCTGTAAGTTTAATATTAACCCTACTGAAAGCTCTTCTCCCATGTAGAATGTCAGCCTACAGGTTGGGTTTGAGCCTGTTCCAACAGGATGTGCCTGTGTGGTTCTGACTGCAGTGGTTGCAGTGTGGAACCTGTTGTTTGCATGTTTGTGGACTATAGTCTCCTTCTGGGCTAGTACTTGGTGAGCTGCCTGCTTGTACTCAGCTGAGTGCCTGGCTCAGCTGACTGGGCTGTTATGGAAGGAGTCACAACCCCAGGCAGTTCTGTAAACAGTGGCCTGTGTGTGTTTACAGATTGCTTGGGAATCTCTCTTATTGCTCAGAGGTACAGTGGAGGGGATAGTTCATGCTCAAGCAATAAGATGAGGCATTTTGTGTTTCTGATTTTAATTGGACTTATCAATTGGCAGTGATAGCAGTGTTCTAACATGTGCCTGAAGACCAAATTGCCTATAATTGCTTTAGGATTTTCATTTCCTTGAGCTGAACAGCTTTGATGATCAGCTGCATCACTCCTTTTAACCTTGATGGTGCTGCTGTCTTCCTTTTGTTGACTTGTTGGACCTGACTCTTATTTTAGGACACAGCCACTTAATGAGATATCCAAAGTCATGTAGTCTTTCACATAAGCTAATCTTTATGCTCCTCTCCTACTTCATGTTTGTGGTTGGGGGTATGCATTCCACTCTCTGGATTTGGTTTGGGTTTTCTTTGGGTAACATCTTGCTGCTTTTTCTACTCAGACCTGTTTTTTCTGGGAATCCTGTGTAGGGTTATTTGGTACTGTTGGTTCACATCTTGACCTTCATGTGACCGTTTTTGAATGACTTGCACTGCACAACAATCACCTTTGTTTCAATCTCTTTAAACATTTGTCTCCCATTTTGTGTAGCTGATGCTTGGGGTACAGAGCTGCTGGGATAAGCCTTGACACCTGCAGTTCAGGCTCTTGCTTACCTGGGGAGTCACTCCTCTCCTCTGCAGAGCAGATTTGGGATCCCAGGCTCTGGGGCAGTGTGTGAACTGCAGAGGCCTAAATGACCATCCCAGGGTCCAGAGTCTTGGCAGGCTCTGTGCACACTTCTATGGAGACCTAGCAGGAAGGCAGGCAGACTGAAAAGAAAATGAATGGAAATGGTAACCCATTTTGAAGGATTGGGATTTTTAGAAAAAATACATGGTCGGAAAGTTTCTGAGCATCTTGGTTGTTAGCACTGTCTTCCAGGCCTTGCAGGAACTCAGGAGAAAGATGTCATGTGCTCTGATTTAAATTTTGCACCAGTGAATAGTGGTCTGCAGTCTAAATATATTCTATTGAGTATCCTTTCAGACAGTTCATATCCCAGAAACTAGAGTAGTAAACTATATATAGTCTCTGACATTACAAACCAGGTTTGTTTTCACCTTATCCATGGCTGAATTGAGATAGCAGGAGCAAGCTGCTCCTCCTGCTGTTGTCTTCTATATTTGTGGCTCACCTTTCACTCTCATTTGTGTCCTTGTTTTGTTGTTCAGGCTTGAGCAGTGCATGTGCTTTCTGGCTCATCCAACTTGGGCATGTGTCTGACTTCAGGTCCCGAATGCTTCCTTTCAGAGACCTGATTCCTTCCAGCACTGTCATGGCACATTCACTGGTATTGTACAGGGCTGAGTAGACTTAAAAAGAAATGCCCTTTTTCTATAAATATCTCTGTTCTGAATATTTTCCTGGTGGGTTCCTGTCTCCAGTTTCAGCTAAAGTCACCAGAAGCCCCAGTGTGGTAGCCTTCAGGGTCCTGGCTAATTCTCAGCACCTCTTTGGGAATCAGCACAGCTTGAATTGCATTTTCCTTGACCTGTCTTGCTATACAAAGAAAACAGTTTGCTACAGATTTGATGACTGATTGACCTTATTGTTTCTGGATTTGCCTCATACAGAATTATCAGTCTTAGGGCTAGAAATTATCAGGTTTAGTGCCATGGTCTAGTTGACGTGGTGGTGTTCGGTCATAGGTTGGACTCTGTGATCTCAGAAGTCTTTTCCTGTGAAAACATTGGCATAAGTTACCAGGTGGCTGACTGGGCCATCCCTCCCCGGGAGGCAGTTGTTGCCATGGCCATCAGTGATGGCTTGTCTTGGTAAGGCAGGTAGAAAGCTGCCAGTCATTGCTATGGGCCACTGAGCCTGTTTGGGGACCTTTTATCTGGGTGGGAAATACAGAATTTCATAGGATCCAGTCTTCACTAGATTCAGTTCAGACAGACTTCTTCAGAATTTTCCTGTCCTTCTTTTTGTGGCTGAACAAGAGTGGGGGATCTCTGTATTTCACTATTTTCAGGGACTGTGTTACAGACTTGCCAGCTGTAACTTGCTTACCTCTGCAGAGTATTTCTGCAGCCTTTTCCAGCATCCAGCCCAGAGTTTTAACCACTCTCCTAATTTCTCACACTGAGAAGATCTTGATGTACTGTTACTATATTTGTCAATGGAACTGCCCTACTACCCTTTAGTGACAAATACTCCTGATATCAACTAATATGAAATCCAAACCATTTATATCCTGGATCTTTTATCAGCAGTGTTATTTGCTTGCTTTCCTCTGAGTGATTTTGGCTTTATGGTGCCAGGACTTGGGGCTGTTTTTGTAGTCTAGCACTGATAATCAGTGTGTCTGGGTTTACACTGCAGCTGTCTCTGCAATGCATCTGGAGATTAATTTAACTGATCTAACAGCAGAATTCCAAAATCGATGGTTTATTAGTTTTAATTGAGGAGCCTTTTATGAAGGCAGAGAAATGTCTATGTGGTTGCTTAAAATTAATACTCTGGAGTCTGCTGGCTGTTGATTTAAGGTAGCAAGGTGGTTCAGAAGCAAAACTTCCTGAGTTCTGACAGAAGTCT